AAATCTGCCCCATTCGCCTCCTGTGCTCTCTCTGGTCAACTGGTGTTTGCCAGCTGCTTCACTCGGACATGTTGGTGGGGTGAAAGGGGGTGAACAGATAAGGCCACTCAGTGCCAAGGGGACTTGGCCCCCCGGCCCTCCTGTAATGGTTGCTGACCCAGCAGACACACTGTGGGATGTCGCTATAGACACATCCATGCTCTCTTACTGCAACCCACCTGTCCTCCTGGCCCAGACCTGGCAGCCCCAGAAGCACCAGCTCACCCAGGGGCAGCTACTTCCGTAAGGGGTGACATATCTGAGGTGCCCCCGCCCACAGACCCAAGCTGATCGCCGTCACCGGCCCATGTCCAGATGTGCCTGCCACCTGCGGCTCCCCGGCCTTTCTCCCTGCCAGGGAAAGGGCTGCGGGGATGAGCAGCTTAAGATCAAACTCAATATCCAACAAGAGCCAAACGCTGCACAGGGGAACCGTGGCGCCACGCTGCCCAGGGCCCCATCACAGGTGGAGACCCCGGCACTCCAGGAGGTGTTGGTTAAAGTGTCTCTGAACAGCAGTCAGGGAAGACCAAGAGAGGGCGGATGTGCAGAAGCCGAGGGGGCATCGGGAAGAAGGAGCCCAGCTGTGCCAGCCGCTGTCCCGGCACAGCCTGGGAATGGACCCCTGGCCACCAGGAAGCCACCCATGAGGACAAAAGCATGACTGGGCGTTGTGCCAGAGAGAAGTGGCGACAGCGAGGGCACAGCAGGCATAATGTACCTGAGGGGCAATCTAAGCGTAAGGCAGCTGGCATGCTGGGGTGTCCCTGTGCAGAGGCTGATGGGGGGTACTTCCATGCTGCTGGTGCCGGGGGTGTGCACCCACCCTCGGGAAGGCCCGGGGAGACAGCTACATTCTCCTGAAGGCTGAGGATGTGGGCTTTTTCTCAAAACAAGATTTTTCCAGTGCTTTCTGCATTGATTTCCTTTGGTCCAAGTTGACAGCCGGTTCTCATTTATATCAGCTGTTTTCTTAAAAGCAGGGGAAGCATAAATCGCCCTGTAATCTCTGGCTGCAGAATGCTGAGTCCTCGCTATCCGGGAGGAATCTGTTTCACTTGTAGTTTCGAGGAGCGCAGCAGGGAATGCCGCGCGGTGACCAAGCCTCGCCAGTTAACACGGTTGCTCGGCTTTGGTTCCAGAAGATGGTTCATAAATCTTGATCTGGGCCCTTGCTGCATCCTGGACTGGGCTCAGAGGCCTCTGTCCCTGGGCCCCAGGTCACAGGGCATGGCCTCCTGGGCACTCCTGGTCTTGGGTCAGGGCGCTGCTAATTGCTGGGTGGGAGAGACTCTCTGACCTCAGCCCCAACACGGTATTCTTCATGGTCCGGGGCAAGGCGACAACCTTCTTGCACCTTATTCCTAGTTTCTAAACGTAGCATGAACTAACGGGCCATCTAGCAATACCCGTCTCATTATATGTTCTCTTGGGAGATCATTGTCAGTACATGTGACGTTCTAGACTGATTTCCTGCCACTCGGGACATGTGGGCCGCTTGCCCAGCTGCTGACGCAGACTCCCGAAGGCCAAGAATCGGCATCGCTGCCACCCTCGGCCTCGGCGAAGCCCTGGAGGCTCAGCTGCTCCAAACACACAGCGTCCCTCTTACCCACGATCCGGACCGAACAAACCGAGCAAGTCATTGTTTTTCTCCCCTGGATTCCTAGATCAGACTTTGTCTAAATCAAATGTAGATCTACCCCAAAGACAGAAACCCCAGCCAAAAAGATCCACAGTGAGACGGGTTCAGCCCGAATGGATCGCAGCAGCAGTTACACCCTGGTTGTGCTTTAACTAACATTAAGTGGGTTCACCTTGGAAAGGTGCATCTCCAGAAAGAGCTGACGCAGAAAACCAGATCTAATGATTTACCCCCTGCAGGGGTGGTTTGTCGCCCCCCGGGCACCCACCTCCTCCGAACGCTGTCACAGGCTTCCGGCTGGAGGAAAGCCTCTGGTCTTCTGCAGCCTGTCCGCAAACTCCCCCTGGGGCTCCGTGCCTACGTGTTTACTCGGGCCACGGAAACAGGGGGCCACAGACGGGGGCCACGTGGCAGGAATGATTTCTCACAGCCCCACAAGCTAGAAGTCCAAGATCCCGGTGTGGGCAGGTCTGGTTTCTGGGGCGGCCTCTCCCCGAGGCTGGCCCACAGCTGCCCGCTCCCTGCGTCCCGCCTGGTCTCTTGCCTGTGCTCCCTCATCTACGGGGGCTCTTTCTCTTCTAAAGGGACCTATTGTAAAGGCCCATTGGAATGGCCTCGTGTTAGCTGGCTCCCCTTTTAAATACCTCCTCTTCACATGCTCCCTGGGGTACGGGGAGTTGGGACTTACACACGTGAAAGTCCTTCACCCCTTGTCATTCCTTTGAGAGGTATCTCCCCTCCCCCCTGGATTGTAGGCTCCCTGGATAAGAGATCCTTCGTGTCGCCGGCGATCCACCATTTGCTGGATCTTCTTGACCACTTGGAAATGTTTTCCATCTGTGCTGAGGCGAAATGCACCCGATGAAGGGGGGGTGGATGGCAGTGGTTTCGGGTCAGTGACTGGGCTGGGTGATTTTCATGGCTCCTTGCCAGCCCTGAGACTGCCACCTCGTGCCCTCCCAGGGAATGCTCCTCTCTAGGGTGTCAGCCCTGTGAAGGGTCCCAGGAGGGTCCAGTCCCAACTGGTTCTTGGCCCTCATGCCTCGCTTACTTTCACGTCTGCATGTGGCAGCACCGGGAACCCTGGCCAGATGAGAAGCTGGCATCTGAGGAAACAGGCACCACGGCAGTGTGGCGGCTTCTGGAGTCTTCCAGCATGGCCCTGACCTTGTGAATTGAGTTCTTCCAGCTCTTAAACCAGGGCTCTGCCCGATAACCCACTATTGCTCACAATGCAGAGATGCGCAATCATTTGTGGGAAACGATTCATGTAACAGATTCCGAAGAATCTTCAAGCAGTCTCTCCTGGCACCAAAAGAACCTGATTTTTTTGTCCGTTTATAAAAGGTTCTAATGCTCAAACCATGGGTTTAAGTACAATTTCCAAACCCTTCTATAAAAAAAGAGGAACCTGTCAGCATTGGGTGGAAATAGCCTGGATATTGGGGGAGAGAGTGTAAATTTGGCTCTGAGTCAGTCCGCGGGCAGTGGAGAGGACACGAGCCGGCGACCCCCCTCCGAGCCCTCGTGCTCACTCTGTCGATACAAGACAGACCCCCCTCCAAAGACACCCGCCGAACGCGAGCTCTGCCGGCCGCATCCCCTGACGGCCGCTCTGCACACGGGGAAAGCAGCTGAAGTTCCAAACAGGCTTCCTGATCAAATCACAAGAAAATGACAGCACCTACGGAGGTCTCGCAGCTTCCCGGGCCGCTTGCTGCCTCAGAAGGGCGTCTCTGAGGCCCAGACAAGAGAAGCCACCGACAGCCTGGACAGAAGGTGTCCCTGTGACCGCAGCTTTGCACACATTCTCCCCGGTGCCAACACCAGGCGCGTGGGCTGAGCAACAAAAGGCCGTGTCATCGGCCGGGCGGCAACGGGGGGCTGGTGATGGTGCCTTTTGACTCGCTGGAGTCTGGCTGTCTAAGATGGGCTGTGTTCGCTTTCCACGCCGGCTGAGAACGGCACGTGGCAGCTGATGAATCAGGTCTCCCACCCCGGCTCTGAAAGGCGGTGAGGCTCCCGGACAGAGCCGAAGTCAGGCCGCGCACACAGTAAGATCTGTGTGGTCCAGCAGCTTGCAGCCGCTGCGCCACCGGGCACAAGCGTGCCAAGGGGGCTGGGGACCTTTGTTCCTCCGCTCTGGAGGAGACAGGCTGGCTGTGTGTCTGTTGGGAGAAATTTTAGAAAACAAGGAAACAAATTCCTTCCTTGTTTGCAGACTGATTTTTTTTTTCCCTCTCTGTCTTCATTTCTAATTCTCCAAAGTGTTCCCTTCCATTCTACAGCATCTACACAGTCCCCGTGCATGAAGACAGATGCCAACTCGAATGTTCAGGGGAGATCCAGAGTGAGACAAGGAGGGCTCGTCCCCTTCCTGTTAACACAGGCTACAGGCCCGCCCTGCGCCGGAGCACACAGCTCGGCTCTGCACAAACAGCAACAACAGCGCATTCTTCCAGCCTCCCTGGACAGCTGGCACATTCCTTCCGAGAGCCACTCGCTGGCCCTTGCAGAGGTTAACTGAAAAGCAATCTGGAAACTGGAGTCCTAGGGCGTGAGCAGGAAGGACCTTCTATTGCACCCATGGGATCAAGTTCAGGAAATCGCATTTGACACTCGGCAGCCCCAGGGGAAGGTCATCTTCAGGCAGCTTCCCCACGCCAGGCACTGACTGGGTTAGTTGGGCTTGTTTTGTTTTTATTTCCGTTTTGTTTCGTTTTTTTTTTTTTTTCTTCACAGACACTAGAAGTTAAAAATGGGACCTAATACAGCAATTTCTTTTCTTCTCCTGTCATTTTATCTGACCCAAAAAGGCAAAAGAAGGGACAAGTGGCATTGCTAGGTAACACTTAGAATGTGCCCTAAAAATTCCCCCAAGCCCTCCCAGCACCCCACGTGTGACTTCCAGCATCCAGCACATTGACAGAGAAACCAAAAGGCCTCCAGGACCACCAGCGAGTGCGGAGCAGGGGGCAGAAGGAATTTGGTACAAACACGTGAAGACCTGTTGAATTTTTTAAACTTGAACTTGGCTAGAAATGTAATCTGTAAAACAAAGGACCACTTTTAATGTCATTCATTCACACAGGTCTCTGTTCTGCACACTGCGAATCCAAAGCAGGTCCTCGGGGTAACTTTTGGGGAACAACACGACCTTGAAAAATCTCCCCAGACAAGAACACCGCCCGTCCCTCTTTGACGTCCCAAGGGACAAGGGGAAGCTGAACATTCCGATAAGAAGCCAATGCCGGAGCCAGCTGATCTCTGTGGGCTCCAGCCTCTCCTCCCACCCAGGAGGGGAGCTGGTACTCACCAGTCATCAGGGTGTAGTAGTTGGGGTAAGAGAGACTGGGGAAGTCTGGGGTCAGATAATCCACCTTTACTCCCCTGCTCACGATCTCTTTGAAGCCAGGCAAGGACTCGAGGGCCTCATCGCTGATGTAGTCTGAGCGAAAGCCGTCCAGCAGAAACACCAGGAGCTTCCGGCCGGCCCAGGCTGGCTGAGCCGGGCTGAGCACAAGGACCAGCAGGAGGGTCCCCAACGTCCCGCCCATGCTGCCAGATGCCAGAGCCCCGCTGGCACCACCGTCCCCTCGCAAAGACCTAGGATGGAGAATCTGTAGCTCTTCTCTGTTCTAGGGGCTGGACCTCGACTGCTGGCCTTCCTGAGCCAAGATCACTTTCAGAATTTAAAGGTACAGCACCCCCTTTGCAAAACCTCTATGCTCACTCTAATGGAAAGTCAAGAGACCAGATCCTTTGGAGAAGTTGGGTTCCCAGACAAGCCAGAATTAACACCAGGGGAGAGAGCACAACCTTATTATTTTGGGTGACTGTTCCAGAAATACAAGAACCCACAGAGAGGCGGAATTTTCAGAGATGACAGAAGTCAAGGCTGACGGTGCACTTGGCCTAACCACAGGGAGGGACCAAGGAAAGGGAGATCTCTTAATTTGCTGTTACCCCACTTCTTCACCGGATTTAAATGCTCACTGTCTTTTCACTGACAGGTCAGGTGAACCTCTAACTCGGTAGAGACAATACATCCAGATGGGTCTATTCAGGAACTTTCCAGCAGTGCTTCCATCCCCATGGTATTTATATATATTTATTTATTTAAAGATTTATTAAAGATTTATTTTTATTTATTCATACATACAAGAACTAGGATGTAGGCCAGGGGTAGGGGAGTGAGAGGATTCACCAGAGACAGAGTGAGGAGCAGAACAAGCAGATCTACTGAAATCCACTGCTGAGGGGAGCAGCGGGTGAGACAGGAGAGGTCTGCTGCACCCTGTGGGTCAGCTCTCTGGCTGGGATCAAACTAATGTTTCAGTGGCTGGTGATTGCTTGATAGCGCTTGCTGATACTCAACCCCTGCACCACCAGGGAGACCACCCTCCCCCCACCCATGGTATTTAAAAAGAAATTACCTGTCCATATCTCAGCAGCTAGTTTTTTGGTTTTTTCTTTTTAATGCCTCTATATGCAATGTTTCCTGTTTCATTTTTCAAGACTATCACCCAGGTCAACCCAGTTGATATTTATCGAATACTATGCCCTAGAACAGCAGACATTTTCTGTCTAAGTGTACTGGATAGGAGAGAATGACTGGAATATGGTAGCCAGAACCTGGGAATGCCTGGTAAAGAGAGCATCTTCCTGTCTAAGACGCCTCAGTAATTTCAGAATATTGAAATCTAACATATGTATTCTCTGACTATAATGGAACAGAGTGAAAAATCACTCTAAAAATCAACATGATATCTACAAGGAGAGGATGACATATCCTTTTAGTGTCACACTGGAACATTAGTTAAAAGATCCAAACAAGGACCTCCCTAATGGCCTAGGGGTTAAGTCTCAGTGCTATGATCACCATGGCCTGAGATCGATCCCCCGGCAGGGAGCTACCCATATGGCGCAGCAGACCTCTCCTGTCTCCTCACTACTCCCCTTAGCAGTGGATTTCAGCAGATCTGCCTGTTCTTCTCCCTACTCTGTCTCTGGTGAATCATCTTACCCCCTTACCTCTGGCTTACACCCCAGTTCTTCTTCACCAAAAAAAAAAAAAAAAGTTCAACCAAGGATCCTTTAATTACAGGTTAATGAAGCTTTGCTTAACTTTCTGTTGTCTATATATGAATAAAAAAATCAACTATAGTGAAAAATATGTCAGATAGTTAAAATTAAACTACACATTTCTAAATATCCATTGGTAAAAAAGGAAAAATTAGAAATTATTTTGAACAGGATGATAATAACCTATTGACATTAGTTGTATGCAATAGTGTTTAGAGGGAAATTGAAACTTTAAAAAATTACATTGTGAAAGAAGAAAGTTATAAAAATCAATTATGTAAGTTTCCAAATTAAGAAACAAAACAACTTACCAAGGTGTTTTGTACCAAGAAGAAAATGAAGATAACCCTTGTCTCCTGTTGCCATGGGGATGAGATTTTGCAGGAATGGATAATAAGGATGTGGAATAAAGTTGGATCAGGGAAAATTCATTGATATAAGCCCAGAAAGCAGACACGATGCATTCAGTGGTGTACTGTGAGTGTCGCGATGGCTCACTTTGCGTGTCAAGTTGACAGGGCTGATGGATCTTTCTCTCTCTCTCTCTCTCTCTCTCTCTCTCTCTCTCTCTCTCTCTCTCTCTCGTGTCTGTGTATGAAGAGACCCGCATACCTTGTAAAGAAGACCCACCCTCACTAGAATGGGTGAGCCTCACCCAACCCTTTGGGGACCTCAAGGAAGGAGAAGGCAAAATGACATCCTGGCTTCCCAGAAACCAAGAGTGGTAGATCAGACAAGAGCAGGTCCTCAGATGTGGTTCCAGAAAGTCTGTTTAAACAGCTTTGATTCATCTTGGAGGTACAACTGGTCTGCTCTTCTTCCCTCTCCTCCTTGAGTGTAATTTTTAAAAGATGGCTGGAGCTCCGGCAGCCATGTTGTGCCGGGATGACCTTGAAGAGAAAGCCCATGTACTGAAAAATGATGGGCAGTAAAAATGAAAGAACTGAGTCCTCTAACTACGGACACTCTGCCAGCCCACTGAGCACAGGGTCTCTTACTTGAGAGAGAAATGAACCTCTCTTATTTAAACTCTTACTGAGTTTTGTCTTAAATGGAGACAAACCCAGTTCGAATAAACGAAGTATGTTTCAAGGCTTAGAATCCAAAGTAGGAGTGCTTCTATGAAGGAATAAAATGATGGGATTGAACTGAAAGCTGTGACTGGCCATATCTGACCAAATATTTACCTAAGCACAGGGCAAAAAAAAAAAAAAAAAAAAGATGTGTGAGTGAGAATGATCACATGTTGACTATGTTAACACTCAGAAATACCTCGTGCAGACAACATCCCCTGATGAATGCTAAAATTAGCGAGAGAACTAGAAAGCAAGAACGTGTTCCAAAAAACCAAAAACCCAAAGGCTGGGGCGTGTCACAGGGGCATAAGAGCCAAACAGGAAGAGCTCCCAATGACCAAAGTCAAAACAATTTGAATCACAGAATAAACCCTGCAGTAATGACTATTAACCCAAAGAATAAGAGAAATATATGAGCCCAGACCGAGATAAATAAATAATGGAAGTAATGAATGAATAAGGGAGAAGTCACAAGTCTTCCTTACAAAATAATTCCAAGTAACATAGGTAGATACCCACACTCCAGGAGGTGAGGCTTAACCCCCACCTTCTCCCCACCCAAGGCAGGGAGACCTAGTGACTTTCTTCCAAAGAAGAGTAGGGAAAGCCAGATGTTTCTGTGACTCAGGTCCACCCACCTGCCTCACCAGTAGAGAATAGAATCTCGATACACTCATACCCATTTAAAGGATAATCCTCTGTGCGCCAGCAAGGTTTTCTTATATTTGCTTGGCAAGGAAATAGGTACATAGATAATAACTACAGCCGTGTTTGTCATGGCAAAAAGTCAGAAACAATCTAAGTATCCAATGTGACGATATTCATAGAACTGAACTGTTCAAAGAATGAACTAGACTTGAATGTCTAGTTCTTGGATGAATCTCAAGAATACTGTTGAGTGTGAAAAACAAGTTGCAGATGGAGACATATAGCATAAAATAGTAATGCAAAAACCATGCAGCACAATATATAATAATAGTGCAGACACATGGAAATGACAAACACCAAAAATCAAGACAGAGGTTGCCCAGAAAAGGAGAGGGAAGATGAAATCAGAGAGGGATCCACTGGGAGGTTGTAATGTCTTATTTATTGAAAACAAAGCAAAACACAAGCACCAAAAACCTGAAGTGCGTCTATTTGACAAAATGCTACCATGTCACACACTGTGGGTCATTGATATCATGCTCTGGAATTTTCTGTAAGCCAGAAACAGAAACATAATTTAAAAAGAAAAAATCCAGCAGGTCTTGGTGATGACTGGAAAATGTGGGTGGCAAGGGAGAGGGAAGGGCTTTGGAAGACTCCCAAGGCTCTACCCCAGCTGACAGAGTGGGGCCATTTGTCAAGACCCGCGCTGCAGAATTGCCATCTTTAAGCAATCACCTCATCACATAAATCAGAAAAGAAGACCCACATTACCCTAATTCAAACCATGATCCCAGGTAACAAAGGAACTTTATCTTCAAACTAGAAGGAGGGAAGTGATCTCAGCACTGACTCAAAGCCCCTTGTCCAAATGACCTAATGCTTTTCCTTTATGTCTTTGCTGAATAAATAGAAATCATCATGTACATGCAGAGGGAGGCAAAATGGATTATTTAATAATTACGCAACCGCTGAATGTAAAAGCTCACTCAAAAACAATAGAAACCATTCGGTGACCTTTTCTCCTAAGACAAATGGTTAGTCAAAGGGATATAGTTTAGTTTTTATTTAAAATATGATATATGGAAGGAACATGAAAATATCTTGACAACGAATCGCCACATCTTGGCTGCTTCCAGATGGGAGGAAATACTTGGAAAAAAAGAACTAGAAGCACAGCGTTCTAGAACTGTAAACAGGGAAGGGAGTGTGGAAATAATCCAATCTTGATTGCTTCCTTCGGGGGACCAGAAAGCTGAGTGTCAAAGGGGTGAAGGAAATTCCCTGAGGGAACACAGAGGTAAGTAATGACAGAGTCTAGGTGTCACCTCCCATGTGAATGCTTTTTAAGATTCCACTTAGATTCCAATCCAACTTTATTTATTCTGCCTCTCCTCTCACCCCACCTGCCTTTTGGCCCATAATATATTTATTAAATGTTTTATTACAACGACTGAATGAGTTTTCAGCCGTTCAGGTCTATAACCCCTCAGTTGAATTGAATTCCTCATTTGAAACTCTTCGAAGCAGCTATGTTTGGAAATTGAGCTGTTTTTCTGACTTTAAAGTTTATACACACACACACACATATGTGCATACACACATATACACACATACACACACACATAATGTACAGCCCAAGTTAATGGCCACTGCTTGCAACTGAGGGGTAATTTTAAAAATCATTTAAAAAAACCCTTAAAGAGCTGGAAGTGTAATTTCTAGGACCACAACAAACTAGATATCAAAATGGACCTGCCTGCTGAGAATAAGTAAGCTGCCAATGATTTCTTTGAACATCTGTAAATGCACTTCACAATGAGCAGAATTGTGGCCCCCAAACCAAGTGAACACAAGAAA